AGGTTCAGGACAAGGACCTTCCTGGCTCTCCCAACTGGGTGGCCAAGTTCACCATTCTGGAGGGAGACCCCGGTGGGCAGTTTGCCATTCGTACAGACCCCAAGACCAATGATGGTATCCTGTCTGTGGTGAAGGTGAGCAAGGCCAGGACATAGACTGTACCAAGTCCAGGTAGGTGGGAAGATCTCCGAGTTTACTGACCCTCCCCAGGTGGTGGATGGGCAATGTGCCTTGCCTCATTTCACAGCCAATTTTAGGACCTGACCTCTGGGCTCCTTAGCTTGGAGTCATCTCATCACCACTATCCCTAGGAAACCTACTCTTCATTCCAGCAGCCTGTCATGCAGACCAATTAATCAATGTGCATTTATTAAGCACCTACTATGTGCCAGGCACTGGCGATAGGAAGACTACTCTCAAGGAGTTTATACCAGGGGAAGATGGATTGAGGGAATGAGAGAGGGGAGGGGGAACCCATCTATCTCCATCCCAGAGCCTATGCAGAGGTGGGGAACCTGCAGCCTCAAGGCCACATGTGGTCTTCTAGGTCCTCAAGTGCGGCCCTTTGACTGAATCCAAGTCAAAGGGCCGCATTTGTTGAGGACCTCAGTCATAGGGTCACACTTGAGGACCTAAAGGGCTGCACTTGAGGACCTAGAGGGCCACATGTGGCCTTGAAGCCCCAGGTTCCCCACCCCTGTATTAGCCAGATGTCCAGCATTTTTGTTTTTTAACTCACTTGGCAAAATTTTGATTTGTGAACTTGGCGCTTGGGAAAGGGTTTAGGGGATTTTGTTTTGTTAGGGTTTTGTGAGGAAAAAATGTATCATGGCCCCAGATAAAACAGAGGCCCCAAGGCTCACAAATGTGTGCCCAAAAGCATGTATGTTTGGGGGAGGGAGTTGTGAGGGAAGGAGATGGAGGCTTTGGATATCACCAGCCCAGCCTCTGTGGTTCCCATAGCCCTTGGACCATGAGAGCAGAGAGCAGTACCAGCTTCGAGTGGCCGTGCAGAATGAGGCCCCCCTGCAAGCCACTGCTCCAAAGGCTGCTCGAGGCTTGGCCACTGTGACCGTGGAGGTGCAGGATGTGAATGAGCCGCCCGTCTTCTACACCAACCCTCTTCGAACCAGCATGGCCGAGGGGGCTGCTCCTGGGACTGATGTCACCACCTTCTTTGCCCGAGACCCAGATACCCAGCAACATCAGCGTATCAGGTGAGAGCTGGGGAGGCCTCAGGCCTTCCCAGCAAAGCTCCTCAGGGTTCCAAAATTGCAGAGACCTTCTGCAGTCTGGGAAAGAGGCAGGGGGCTTCTGTCCAGTGGCCTGATGGGTAGGGTCTATAATCTAGCTATGGTACTATCCCACAAAGCATGTGTCTGGACGTGTGTGCATGGAAACGCACCCAAGTTTCTGCTGATGTGTGTGATTGAGGATGTGCTAAGTGTAAGCCCGGGTCCACCATCATCTGATCCTTACTCTATCTCACTTCAGTTATTTCAAAGACTATGACCCTGAGGACTGGCTTCGAGTGGACCGTGCCACTGGTCGGATCCAGACTAAACGTGCTATCAACCCAGCCTCACCCTTCCTCAAAGATGGCTGGTATAGAGCCATCATCCTGGCCAGTGATGATGGTGAGGGGATGGTGGGGGGAGGAGATGAGGCCATGATAGTCTTCTATGCCATGGAAAACCATAGGCTGGAGGGGCAATGGACAGAGACCGCCCTTGCTGGCCATACCCACGAATTTCACATGTTACACGTGTGTTCCTAAGTACAGTGGTCTGGATGTGGGGTGGGACTATAGAATGTCTCTGGGTCTAAGGGTTCCAGATCCCAAGAGAGATGGGTCTGGACCCACTGATGTCCATTTGGGGGTTTCATGGAACGGCAGGGCTAGAAGGGACTTTATAGGATCATTGAGTTGAGCTTCACCATGAGAGGGGAGACCCCAGAATCTCAGAGGCCATCTGTTCTGACCCCTTACTAAACAGAAATGTCCTCTCCACCAGCCAGAATGAATAGTGGGTGTTTGACAGCCACTGCCCATAGGAAAAGCAAATTCCTTTCCCAAGCACCAAGTTCACTGTCGCTCACAATTGTGTCCTGGGACCATGGACAGAGGTCTAGATCAGGGCAGGGTCAATAGATCCAGAAATGACATGTAGCCTCCCCCTTCCTGTACCATCAGCCTCCCCAGCTCGCACGGCCACGGGCACCCTGTCCATAGAGATTCTGGAGGTCAATGACCATGCACCCCTCCTGGCCACACCCACGGGTACCCTGTGCAGCGACCCTGGCCAGGGGTCTGGCCTCATCCTCAGTGCTACTGATGAGGACTTGCCCCCACATGGGGCCCCCTTCCACTTCCAGCTGAGCTCCAACTCCCCTGAACTGGCCAGAAACTGGAGTATCAGCCAAATCAATGGTGAGAACTCAACCCGCTTCCTGAAGTTAAGCCAAAGAGCTCAGGAGCTCAGGGTATTTCAGGTCTTAGGGCCTGGGAGGAAAAAAGGAGGAGAAATTAGAGGTGAAGTGGCTATACAATGGGGCTCGGGGTCAGTAAGGCCTGGGTTTGAATCCCACCTCAGACATTTATTAGCTGTGTGGCTTAGGTAGATCACTTAAGCCTCAATGTCCTTATCTGTAAAATGGAACTAATAATGGCACCTGACTCGTAGGGTTGTTATGAGGGTCAGATGAAGCAATGGGTGGAAATCACTTGGCAAACCCCCAAGTGCTATGTGTCAACTGTTATAATGAACACGCCCAGTAGGGGCTCAATAAGAACTTGTAGATTGATGGTGATGATGATCCGCCATTTTCAATGGACTGAAAAGGTAGAGCTGTTCACTCAAGGTAATACAGCAAAGCAGCTTGGAGAGCTGGGATTAGAACCCAGGTCTTTTGACTCAATGACTGAAAGGGTGAGATAAGGGATAGGGCCAGACTAGAAGGAGCTTTACAGGGGTGGGGGATGTGGATGATGGAAAGAAGGGGAAATGGGATGGGGGGCAGGGGAGAGGTGGGGAAGGTGTTTTCTCTCTCTCCATCTCTCTCTTTCTCTTCTTCTTTCTCCTCCTCCTCCATAACTTCCTCTCCTCACAGTGACTCACGCCCAGTTACGCTTGCGGACCGAGGCTCACGAGGGGTTGTACAGTCTAGCCCTCCTGCTCCAAGACTCCGGGCAGCCCCCCCAGCAGCTGGAGCAGCTGCTCAATGTGACTGTGTGCCGCTGTGGGGAGGCTGGGGTCTGCACCCCTGGGGCAGCTGCCCTTCTGGCTGGGGGGGCAGGCATCAGCCTCGTGGCCCTGGTCATCGTCCTTGCCAGCGTCATCCTTCTACTCTGTAAGGCATCCTTCCCCACCTCCACCACCCCATCCTCCTGGAGAACCTCCTCTAATGCCCCCACGCTCCTCATTGAGGAATCCTCCCCCACTTCCTCTGCATCACCTAGAGACCCCCCCCAGATGACCCAGTTAGGGACCCCCTCTATTCCTCCCGCCCACCTTGCATATTCCTAGGGCATACCATCCTGGTATTACCCAGAGGCCCTGTGCTCCCCATTGAGGGCCCCCTTTGCTCTCCCCCTCCATACCCATGGGAGCTTCTTCCCCCCGGGGACAGTGCTCATCTTGTTGGTGGCCATCTTTGAACGCTTTCGCCAGCGAGTCCGGGAGAAGGGGCTGCTGGACGGGCTGCAGGATGATGTTCGGGACAATATCCTCAACTATGATGAGCAGGGAGGTGGAGAGGAGGATCAGGTGAGAAAGGAGGCAGGGGCATCTGGGAGAGAAGGGACCCACTGAGGGAGAGAGGAGGTGGGTCAGGGATGGAGGGAGGGGGACCAAATAGGGGAAAGAGGAGGTGGGTCAGAGAAGGAGAGGGGGGACCAAGTAGGGGAGAGAGGAGGTGGGTCAGAGAAGGAGAGGGGGGACCAAATAGGGGAGAGAGGAGGTGGGTCAGAGGAGAGGGGGGGACCAAATAGGGGAGAGAGGAGGTGGGTCAGAGAAGGAGAGTGGGGACCAAATAGGGGAGAGAGGAGGTGGGTCAGAGAAGGAGAGGGGGGACCAAATAGGGGAGAGAGGAGGTGGGTCAGAGAAGGAGAGGGGGGACCAAATAGGGGAGAGAGGAGGTGGGTCAGGGATGGAGGGAGGAGGACCAGGTGACCGCCAGGGAGAGAGAGGAGCCCAAGACAGGTAGAGAAATAGGGCAGGGACCTCACTTTGGATCTGGGGAGAGACAGAGATCCAAGGGCAAAGGTGAAAGGCCTACGTAAACAGTGTTAGGCTTTCTCCCAAGAATCCAACCTGATGGGCTGGGGAGAGGCATGATAACTGAAGACTTCTGAGTCCCCTAGAACTACTAATAATAAATAGCTAGCATTTATATAGCATTTTAAGGTTTGCAAAATATTGTACATATTATCTCATGTGGGGAATACCACCTCTAATTGAGGTCAAAAATCTACAGAATTCTCAGCAAGAACCCGAGGGCTAGCCTATAGGGCCGGGTGTCCCCCAAATGTTGATCTGTTATCCTAGTGAGGGCTGCACCTTCCCCCGCCTCACCCAGGGAATGTACCAACACTTTGGATGTTGCTACAAAGAAGGGTGCAGGGCTGAGAAGGGCTGCCGAAGATGGGCACTGATGGGGTATCCAAGGACTCAGGTCCTGCTGCCATATCAGTACCCATTTCTATAATGGGAAACACACCATTGCTTCCTAGGATTTAGAACTGGAAGGGGCTTTACACATGCCTTATCTATGCTACAGGTGAGGAAATGGATACCCAGGGAGACCAAAGCTGAGTCCCATATACTTACCATTTAATTTTTCAAAGTTGCGGGTTATCAAGGTCTGACTCCCCCTTGCCCAGAAGGCTGGCAAGTAAAGGAAACCACAGTAGGCTGCTCTCTCACCTTTGTGCACAGCTCTGGTGGGACCAGGAAAAGGGAAAGGGGCCGCCTAAGTTGTGGTCATTTGTCTGATGCTACAGGATGCCTATGACATCAACCAGCTTCGTCATCCTGCAGAACTGGTGCCTCAGACCTCCTTTCGGGGGAGACAGCCTCTGCGAAAGGACACCCCCTATCACCGGGTACCTCCGCAGTCCTCCCGGGCCCTGCCCACCAGCCCCTCAGACATTGCTGATTTCATCAATGATGTAAGTGTTCCCAGAGCAAATAGGGACACGAACCTAGCGGCGACCCTCCTGGTCTCTCTGGGACTCTCACCTCCTATTATCTCCCACTCATTCTGATTGCCATTCTCAGCTACACCCAAGGCGATGGACAGGAAAAACCCCCTTTCTTCTTAAGCAGTGACTGGACACAGCCTTGTAAAAAAAAAAAAACCCAGGCCAGAGTTTCCCATGATTTCTCTTTTCCCCAAAGCAAGAAACTGTCCCTCTAGTGTCCTTCCCTTAATGTGTGCTTTTACAGAACCCATCGATGGCATGTTTCATGCCTTCTCTTATGAATAATCCTCATAGGGCCTTTGGCCACTGCCTCAGTTTCCCCAGGACCTCCTATCTATCCCAATCCAGCTGGTAGACTCCTGTGATCTCAAGCAAAGGCGATGCAACAGAATTGATAAAACCAAACAGCACACCATGCAAAAATCACTTCATTTTGGCTTTCAGATACATTATCCCATTAGTTCTCTAAGAATTATCTGGGGACCCCTAGGGGTCCCCCAAGCCCTTCCAGAGAGCCTGCAAAGTCAAAGCTATTTTCATAACAATCCTAAGATATTTTAGTTTCCAATACAATGAATGCCAATAGGTCAACCTACATAAACAAAAGCTCAGTAATTTGCAAGAGCGTAAAAAGACCCTGAGGCCAAAAAGCACGAGAAGGGCCACACTTGGTATGATTCCTCTGCACGGAACCTCTGCCTTTCAGGTTATTTTCCTCAAGCTGATTTCTGGATGGGTTTTTAATCCCTCGGCCCTTGGCCCTGAGGCATAACCCCAGCTTCCCTGTCCCTCCTGTGTGGCCAGGGTCTAGAAGCAGCTGACAACGACCCCAGCGTCCCACCCTACGACACAGCGCTCATCTATGACTACGAGGGAGAAGGCTCTCTGGCGGGAACGCTCAGCTCCATCCTCTCAAGCTTGGGAGACGAGGACCAGGATTATGATTACCTCAGGGACTGGGGACCCAGATTCACTCGGCTGGCGGACATGTACGGGCAGCACTGAGGGCCAGGGAGGACTTGGGGGTGCGGCGGGGGACAGAGAGCTGCACTATTCCTTTTCTGAGGGGAAGGGGAGCTGGTGAGAACAGAGAGGAGGAAGGGCAGGGCTGCAGCTGTGAGGCTCAGCACGTTGCCCCCTTCTGTGGGCTCAGACGTTCCTATGGCTGCCGGGCCCTCTCCACCATCCATGCCAGGGGGCTTACTGAGAGCCAGGGGAGCCTTCTCCTTCACCCTGAGTTCTACCCACTGCTCCCTTCATCTAGACCTAGGTGGGGTGTCCTAGATCGGGCCCAGAGTGGTGAGGAAAAGCCAGTCACCCTGTGGCCTCCTCAGACCACACCAGAGGTCCAGCTCTCCAGGGGAAACCCCTTTGCCTCCCCCAGCCTCACCCTGAGGTTTCAGACCTTCAGGGGGACAGGCAGAGACAAGGGGTCCAGTCAGCCCCTTTGAGAGAAAGCCACAGTCCATTCCAAGCTCCAACCATATTCAAGCGCTGGATTGGACTTGCCTTATTCTTACAAGGTCTGGGGTGCTGTATGGTACCTCATGTGCCCCTGAGGAAGCACACGTCATGGTGCTATTGGGTTAACCCGGGGTGGGAGGGAATCTGTGGCCTTCTAGGTCCTCAAGGGGGGCCCTTTGACTAAATCTATACCTCACAGAACAAATCCCCTTCATAAAAGGATTTGTTCTGTAAAACTTGGACTCAAAGGGCCCCCCTTGAGGATCTAGAAGGCCACAGGTTCCCCACCCCGGGTTAAACCTTCTAGGAGCAATAGAAGAGGCATCCAAAAGCCAAGAAAAAAGGATGAAAATCCAGGGCCTTAAGCTAAATCCCTTGGACGCAGAAGTGCCAAGCTGAGCTGAGCCAGGCCGGGCCTCAGACAGGGATCCTGCCTGGCTGCCCAGACATGAGGAGGTTCTGCCATACCCTCCTTCTACCAGCTCCTCCTTAGCTCCCAGGTGTGGCTCAGACCTTTCTGTGAAAGTCCCCCAACAACCCCCACCCACCCACCCAATGTTTGCCCAGCTCTGTTGCAATGTGTTTTGTATGAAAGGAATTAGCTGCATGATGCAGTTTGAATTAAAAAAAAAAAACCACCTTAGAGACATTTCTATATAAGGCCCTGGATCTTCTGGAACAAGACTGCAGGGGTCTTTCTGGGCACCAGAAGCCAAGTTCATGCTCATTGACCGCCCTCTGAAACACCACTGGAAGAAGAGGAGGAAGGAATGGGGTCCCGGAAGACCTAGACAGAAGCTGAGAAAAGAGGATGCAGAGGGTCCTTCCAGGGAAAAGCACAGAGACGACAAAGTGGTTCTCATGGTGCTTTTGAGTATGGAGGGGAAAGAGAAGCCAGGGCCACCTCGAACCCAGTCAGGAGGTTAGGAATTCTGCCCCAGAAAGAAAACTATTCCATGAGGCTGAGGGCTTCAGAAGCAATTCCCAGCATGACTGGAGGGTGGCCAGAGCAGCCTCTTACCTAGAGGAAGCTTAATTTGTCCGGAATTTGAGTCCCAGGTAAATTGGGGGGTCTCTGTCCTACCCTGGGGAGCTTTGCAGTTTCCAGGGGACTGCCCAGCAGAGCCCTTCCAGAAAACAGGTGAACTGGTGATGAGGAGGACAGGCAGGGCCCACGAGCGATACCCCAGACTCATCACGCTCCGCAATCATAAGGGCAACAGTAACAAGGCACCGTTCTGTCTTCCAAGCCCTTCCTTCCCAGGGCTACAATATCGGCATCGATAAAGGCAGTTACTGCAGGTGGCCTCCCATAGTTCCAGCATACCTTGACTCCTGTGTGACCTGGAACTCCCTAGCTAGGTGAGCCCCGGCAGGTGGATGCCATTGGCCACCAGTCCTTTGGGAGGGGACCGCCAGGCAGGAGCTTTGCTGCTGTCCATAGTGGGTCTGCTTACAGGAGGGCAGGAGCAGTGGGACGTGTTGGTCCTGGGGGTGGCGCCAGTGGGGCATGAAGAGCGGGGAGGACCACCGGCTCTCAGCATCCTCCAGGGACTCGGGGAGGTTCCGGGCCTGGCTCTCAGGTAGTAACAGGATGCAGAGCATGGAAAGGACAGCAAAAGAGGCAAACACCACGTGGTGGAGAAAGAAACTTCGAGTGTTGGACATGCTCATGATGGGTGTGGCCACTTGGCCCAGGAAACCAGCTGCCATGATGAGGCCCAGCCCCGCTCCTCTGAAGGAAATGTGGGGCAGGGGCAGAGGTCAGAAACACAGAGTGGGAAAACCCCCCACCCCACCCCAGACAAACACAGAACACAAGGCTGGGATGAGGGTGGCCCTCAAGCCAAATCTGTCTTTCCTGACTTTCATCTAGAAATGTGAAGGCCTGGGGGAAAAAAACCTGAAAAAACTTTGGGAAAATAACTTATGTTTCTCCCTTTCTCCTCTTTCCCCCAGCAAGAAAAAAAAAAAAGGCAAAAGGGACAACTCTCTTTGCCCTCCAGGCAGTCTCTCCTCACCCTCCTCCACTCCTGCCCTGGCAGTTCCAGGCCCAGATATCAAGAGTATTCAGGATGTACCAGACCCACCCCCACCCCCTACCACCCCCAGAGTAAACTCATTCACAGGTTCAAGGTCTTAACCTTTTCCCATCCCAGGGGTTTTACAACAAGATCCACAGGGAGACAGCAGTGCTAGAATGTCAGGCAGCAGCAGGATACTGGGGAGATGTTTTGGGGGTGGCATGGCCATATGGGAAGGAGGAATAGCTCTGTTCAGAAGTACGGGACCCCTCCACCCCTGGGCTTGGGGCAGGGCCTACCTGATTGTGGTGGGGAGGATCTCACTGGCAAAGAAGACGCTCAGCACAGACATGGCCTGGGAGGCCAGGAGCCCCAGTCCAGAGAGAAACACCACCATCCAGACTGGCAGGTCTGGGAGGAAATGAAAGACGCGCTGGGGCCATTGCTCATTCTACCCCTTCTGTGGGCCTCTCCCAGCCCGGCTGACCACCTGCTCCTGCTGGATGCTACACCCCTAGGGAGCGAGTGTTCTTCCCCAGCCCCTGCCCCTTCTCTGGGGTGACTGGAACAGGAGCCTGGCTCTCTCCGGCCATGATCTGATCCCTGTTCAGGGCCCTTTGTAACAGGTCCAACTCCCAGCCTCGGCTCCATCTCCAGGAAGCCTTCCGCAACGATTCCAACTGGCACTGACCTCTCCCTTGTCTGAATCTGGGTATCACTTAGAGTGCAGATTTGGGACTGAGAGGGACCTAACAAGTTATCTTGTCCTGATCACTTTATGATAAGAAAGCCTAGAAAAATTAAAGTCAATTGTCCAATAACAACAACAACAATAATAATAATAATAAACAGCTGCCTTTTACATTGTGCTTTGAGGCTTACAAAGGACCTTACATATGTTATCTCATCTGATTCTCACAACAACTTTGGGAGAGAAGGGCTATTATTATCCCCATTTAACAGATGAGTATACTGAGGCAGAGACACCTGCCCAGGGCCGCAAAGCGGGTAAGTATCAGAGGCTGGATTCAGGCTCAGGTCTTGCAGACTCCAGGTTCAGCCTATCCACTGCACCCCTAGTTCAAGGTTACACAGAGAACAGTGGCAGGCCTGGAAGGTGAACCCCAGTACTCCGGTCCCCAGTGCAGCATGCTCTGTAGGACATTATGCTGTTCTGTGATTTCATCTGCGTCCTCTGAATTCCTCAACTAGACTGAAAACCCCATAAGGGAAAGGAGCCAGTGGAAAGAATGCTGAACTGGGAGGGAGGGGTTGGAGAGCCCTGACTGTCTGTGAAACCTTAGACAAACTCCCCTCTCTAGGGTCAAATTCTCCATCTATAAAATGGGGGTGGGGATGGACTTCTTCCAGCCTGGAAATTCCATTACCTGCTCGCTACCCCACCTCCCCCACCCCAACCCCGCTTCTGCTCCCAAGGCCGCACTTCCCTCTTACACTGGGCTAGGGAGAGAAGGAGCAGGGAGGCCAAGCTGGTGAGGACGGTCCATAGGAGCAGGCTAGCCCGGCGGCCGCAGCACAGGGCCATCAGGATCAGCAGGAAGCTGGCGGCTGCCTCCAGCCCAGCCAGCAAGAAGCAGGGCAGGTAGAAGTGGGGCAGAGAGGGGGCCAGGTTCTGAGTGAAGTCATACCGGATGCCATTCCCCAGCAACCTGTGAAGGGAAGGAGGGGGCAGAATGACCTGAGGACACTGCCTAGGGGGAGACAAGAGGAATCTCAGAGCTGGAGGGACCTCAAAAGGCATCTTCATCCTGGGCTCATGGGGGAATGTCAGGGGGTCCATGAACCTGAACGGGAAAAAACACTACATGCTCATTTTCACTAATCTTTGGCTTCCTTTGTAATCCTGAGTATTTTATTTTGTGCATTTAAAAGCGTTATTCCGAGACAGGATATCCAGGCTCCACCAAACTGGTGGCCTTGGCTCTCTGTCATCACGATCTGACCCCTGCTCCAGGCCCTTGCTAATAGGTCGTGCTCCCAGCCTCCTCTGGGCAGCTTCCTCACTGAGTGAGCTGTCACTGACCTCTCCCTTGTCTGAATTCAGGGATCGCTTACAGTCAATGTGCGGGACAACCCCCCTTCTTGAATAGGTAGTATTCCCAAGGGATGGCTGTCCCAAGGTAGCCTTCCTTGAAGACTTCCCATGGAGGGGGCTCTCCCAAAGTCACCCCATGCCACTTCAGGACTGTCCTAATTGTCAGAACGTTTTTTCTTCATGCTGAACTTATATTGGTGTCTCTGTAGGAGCCAAAGAAGGCCATAAAAGGTAGAAGGGCCCAGGGAGGGCAGGGATAACTCCCAGTTACATAGTAACACATAGTTTATTAAGTGCTACCTTGACAGCTGCCGTTTTGAAGAGGTCAGAGGAAATCATCCCCCTTTTACAGAAGAGAAAGCTGAGGCCTAGAGAGGTAGTGACCCACAAAGAATGCTCTTCGGACTGCTCCCCAGTCACGCCCGACTCTGAGCCACACATCCCAACATCCTCCTGCCCAGAGCCACTACAGCGCAGCACCCCTGTGGGCCTTGGCCCCTTCTGCCTCCCAGACTCCCTGCTTTGACGTGGTAGTGCCTTACGTGGTAAAGGCCAGAATGAGGATGTTTCTCCAGACGAGCTGAGTGCTGAAGACCTCCAAGATGGAGTGGTACTGGGGCAAGGCCTCCCCCTCAGACAGCCCGTCTAACTCTGGGTATAAGGAAGAGAAAGAGTTCACTGAGCCTGGCCCGGATCAGGGGAAGATAATGAAAAGGCTGAGAAAAAACCGCAGCCTCCCCACCTGATCCCACCAGGGAGGGGTCAGAGTGGACCACTGAGAAACAGACGCTTCCCTGTCTCAATGAAACACCCAAGAATAGTCCACTGGAGGAACTCGGTACATATTATCTCTCCATCCCCCTAACATCTGCCTTCAGGACAAGAGGGCAGGGATATGTCCCTAGCACATGTACACACACACACACACACACACACACACACACACACAAAGAGTCTTTCTCTATCATGGCTTCTCATGATGGATGGAATTCTGCCCTAATTCCTCATCCTGGCATTCAATGCCCCCAAATCAATAGTATCCTTCCACAAATGCTCACTGCCTTTGTCAGCCTGACTTCACTCTACACACACTCCTGCACATTCCTGCTTCCAGAGACCCAGACGGTCATGGCCTCTGAATTCCCAGCTCCTGGCAGTTTCTCCAACATAGTAGGTGCTCAATAAATGTTGCAAAGTTGAACACCTAAATGCTCTTCCTGTGCCTTCACCTACCCAAATGTCCTTCAAGTCCCATCTGCAGGAGCATCATCACATTGTAATTTAATTTCTACCGCACTTTAAGCTTTAATAATAATAAAGGCAGCTAGGTGGCACAGTGGATAAAGCGCTGGGCCTGGAGTTAAAAAGACCTGAGTTCAAATCCAGCCTCAGACACTTACCAGATATGTGACCATGGGTAAGTCACTTAATTTTGCCTGCCTCAGTTTACTCAACCATAAAATGGGGGTCCTAATAGCCCTGAGCTCCCAGGGTGATTATGAGGATCAAATGAGATGTTTGCAAGGTTTTGCAAAGCTTAAAGCATTCTCTAAATGCTAGGCATTGTTAATAGCTAACATTTTTATTCTGGGGGCAGCTAGGTGGTACAGTGGATACAGTGCTAGGCCTGAAATCAGGCCTTAGACATTTACTAGCTGTGTGACCCTGGGCAAGTCACTTCATCCTCTTTGCCTCAGTTTCCTCATTTGTAAAATGAGCTGGAGAAGGAAATGGCAAACCACTCCAGGGTCTTTGCCAAGAAGACCCCAGATGGGGTCACAAAGAGTGGGCCACAACTGAAACAACTCACAACAACAACTTTATTCTGCCTTAAGGTCTTCAAAACACTTGACACAATGATCTCATTTGGGGTCCTTGTTGGGGGTTCCGTGAGGCAGGTAGTGCAAGCATTAATATCCCCACTTTTTAGATGGGAAAAACTACAGCTCAGAGAAGCTAAGGCAGCGACCTGCCCAGGAGCGTGCCACTGGCAAAGGGGAAGCACAAAGCTTGGGTCTGCTAAGGCTGTGGCTAGCTTGGAGCTTAAAAAGATCCAAGTTTTCTCGGGGTCTCTTGTGTCTACACCCAAGTCCTTTGCAGATGCCAGACTCCCTTCTCCTCCCTCTCCACACACAGGGAACCTTTCCTTGTAACAACAAAAAAATCAGCAAAGCCAAAATGACCCGACGCCGGAATCTTCCCTGGTGGTGTATGCACCATTCCATCCCCCTGGTCCCCCACCTCTCCAAGGAACGGAAAGAGGCACACTCATTGTCTTCTCCAGGGCCATGACTGGCTTTTAGTTGCCTGCTGGCCTTCATTTTTGTGGGGGGTTTTTCTCACTCACTGTAGTCTTTGTAGCTCCTAGGAGCCCTTTCTTCATATAGTCTTTCTTGACTAACTCCAGGCCATATGGTGCAGAGATTGATTGGCTGGGAGTGGGAAGAGCTGGGTTTGAGGCCTCGCTTTGCCACTCTGCTGGGCCACCTCAGGCTAGCTGCTTCATGTCTCTGACCCTGTTTCCTCAACTACCAAATGGGATTCCTGATTCTTGCTCTGCATACCTCCGCCGACTTCCACGAGAATCACAGGGGATAATGTCTGTGAATGCACTTTGTAAATGACAGTGATAATAACACGCAGCTTTGCAGCAGCCAGGTTAGATAAGTGTTACAGCCATTATCATCCCCATTTGTAAAACAGGGACACTGGAGCCAGAAGACAAGAAGAGCTTTGCCCAGAGTGGCAGCACCAACAAAGCATCCAGGTCCCCTGGGCCCCGAGGCCAGCTCCGTATTCACCACCGAGATGACTGGGCAGCTCATCTCTGTCCATTCCTGGTCCTCAGGAGCCGCCGTGTCCAAAGCAAGGGCCACCCCCAGCGACCCTGCATTAGCTTAGCCTCGGTCCTCTCCTCCTGCTCCTCCTGCCCGAATGCCCAGAGAGGCTCGTCTCCCTGGAACTCACCCAGCCACCCATCCCTCCGAACAATATTAACGCCAACGACGGGATTATCGTTGTAAAGCTCAGACAAACGAAACCCATGCTGAATCTCTTTGCGAGGCAATATATACATGTCGGTTATTATTAATTATTGTTATTATGGGCCAGATTCTACACTAGGTACAGGGGAAAGAGACAAAATGAAAATAACCCTCGAGCGTTATCTTCTGGGGGGGTGGACAGGGAACATTATGTACACATATGATACTATATATGAGAGTGCGTGTGTGTATACATGTTTATATATAGTATATGCATCGTGTGTGAATATGTATGTATGTATGTGTATATACTACATGCATGGGTATTAATATGCATGTGTGTGAATATATAGATCTATGTAGGTGTGTATATGTATGTGTATATATAGCATAGGCATATATATGCATAGTATACACATATGTCTATATAGTACACGCATTGTGCATGTGAATATGTGTGTGTATATAGTATATGCATGTATATGTGTATATAGTATATGCATATGTATGTTCCATGCATGTGTATTAATATATGTATGTGTATGAATATAGTATAGGCATATATATGTGTGTGTAGTATACACATATTATATATAATATATGCATTGTGTATGTGAATATATACATGTATATGTGTGCATAGTATATGCATGTATGTATATATTACATGCATGTGTATTAATATGTGTGTGTGTGAATATATACACATATGTGTGTATATGGCATAGGAATATATGTGTATAGTACACATGTACGTATGTTATATGCATTGTGTGTATACATGTGTGTATAGTATATTTATGTGTATATCACATGTGTGTGTATGACTATATACATGCATGTGTGTATATGCAAAGTAAAGACAAAGCCATTCTTCTGGAGGGACAGAGAGGATCAAAAGAGATGCTGTGTAGGGGGTGACAAATGAACAACTCCTTGGAAAGAAACTAGGAATTCTCTGAGGTGAGGAGGCAGTGTGATCCTGGTGTGGGGTCCAGCCAGTGCCAAGGCATGGAGATGAGAGAGGATGGTGGGAGGGCTCACCTGCAGCCAGAGTCGCACTCTCGGAGGTGGAGTCCTCACACTTGAGGTTGGCCCCTGCCAATTGCCACAGAATCTCCTTGGCTCTGCCCGGCTGCTGAGTGGCCACCAGCCATCGGGGAGACTCTGGGAACATGGAAAGAAATCTGCAAGTACATGACACAGAGGACAGGGTTTTGTTTAAGTTCTTCCAGCCTCTGAGGTCCTGGAGCTACTCCCACATCACCCCACTCCAGGGGCCCTGTCACACTCAGTAAAGCCATGGGGATCCGGGATGTTGTAGTGACTCCCCAGCTCCCAAGCCTGGCTCAGATTTTCTGCAGGATCCTTCTTTAAGAAACAAGGTCAGAACCTTGGACGCTTTCATATCTTGTCCCATAGCAGCTAAGGGTCTGTCTCCTGGACTTTTACAGCCAGAAGATGCTGGACTTAAGGTCAGCAAGAGCTGGGTTCAAATCCTGCCTGAGACACTTACTAACTGCGTGACCCTGGCCAAGTCACTTAACCTAAGCTTCTGCTCATCCTTTATAAGATGAGAGAGTTGGATCTGATGGTCCCTGTGGTCCCTTCCAGTGCTAAATCCCTAATTCTCTGATCTTGTCCACTCATCGAGGCCACCAGATGTGGAAGTCAAGCCCTGGGTAAGCTTTTCTGAGCCTGTTTCCTCCTCTATAAAATGAGGTCCCTTCCAGCTCTGAATCCTTGACTCCATGACATGGTCTGTGTGCCAGGCTGGTGTATCACTCACTCAATCAACAGGTCCTTCTTAAGAGCCTACCATATGCCAGCCACTGTGAGAGGCTCCAGAAATACAAACAGAACGAAACAATGGAACTCTTTTGAATGAGGGAGAGTACAAGGGTGTATACAGATAGATGCAGAATAAAGGAGGATAAGAAATTAATACAAGGAAGTGAAATAGATGGTAGGCAGTTGGAGGGCTCCAGGAAGGTTAATCCAGGTGAGAGGTGAGATGGGCCTGAAGCAAGGGGACAGTTGTGTAAGCAGAGAAGTGACTGCATGTGAGAGAGGCTGTGGAGGTAGAAAGGGCAAGATTTAGCAAGTGTTTGGCTACGTGAGGCAAGGGAGAGTGGGCTGCTGAGCAGAATGTGGAAGTTACGCATCTGAGAGCCAGGAAAGATGGCGGTGCCTTTGACAGAAACAGGCTAGTTTGGAAGAAGGCTGGGCTTGGGGGGAGGAGAATGAGGTCCATTTCAGACATTTTGCACTGGTGATACCTCCAGGATGCCCCTTTTGGCAACTGATATTATGAGACTGGAACTCAGGGGAGAGACTGGGGCTGGATATATCGAACTGGGAGCCATTAGCATAGAGATGGTCATCAGACTTCTGAGAGCTGATGAGAAACAGAGACAGACAGAGCCAGGACAAGACAAGAGGAGATGAGAAAAGAAGAGGAAATCTGGTACGGGGCCTTGGGAAACATCCACACTAAGGGATGATGTAGATGATGAGTCAGAAAAGGAGAACGGGAAGGAGCTGACAGATGAGTAGAAGGAAAACCAGGAAAGAATAATGTCATTAAAACCCACAGAAGAAAGGGTGTCTAGAAAGGGAGGGGGATCGACAGTGTCAGATGAAGCAGACAGGTCAAGAAATCATGAAGGCTGAAAGAGAAAACACATCAAGTTTGGCCACCAGGAGATCACTGGTAACTTTGGAGTGAGCATTTTCAATCAAATGATGACACCAGGAATAGATTATAAAGGACCGAGTGAGAGAAGGGAAAAATGGGAGCAGGGAGTATATTCAGCTTTTTTCTAGGAGTTTGGCTGAAGAGAAGAGAAATATAGGACAATGTCTTGAAGAGATAGCAGAGTCTAGTGAAGGCTTTTTAAAGATGAGGAGATTTGGAGATGTTTGAAGGCAGCAGGGAAGGACCCCACAGACAGGGAGAGATTGGAAATAAGACAGAAGAGGGTGGGTGCAGCCTGCTAGAGACAGGAGGGACACAGGAGAGGGGCTGGCCTTGGCAATGCAAAAGGCCACCTCACTGACAGACACTGGGGAGGAGGAGGAGAGAGTGAGAGATGATGTCAGAGGGTTTTGAGATAAAGAGAAAGGGAGGAAAGAAAACTCAGATTAAATGCCCCTTATATTTTCTCAATCAAATAAGTGAGGTCTTCATCTGAGAGAGGGGAGAGAGAGATGTGGGAGGCTTGAGAAGAGATGGAAAGATCTGGACAAACTCTCATGAAGAGAGAGAGGGTCAAGACTGAATTAGAGTGGAAAGAGGATTGCCTTGCTGGGATGAGGACCCAGTTGAAGTTGGCTACCACGAATACACACTGTGCCGCATCCAGGCAGAGTACAGTTGTGGGATTTCATTCATGATGCAGCATCACGCAGAGGAGCAGAGGAGGCAGACTGGGGAGGGGAGCAGGAGGAGTGACCCAGCACTGAAGCGTGCAAGGGATCGGCAGCCACAGGGGAAGGAGAAGGGATCGGAGAGCAGGGAAGAGTATAGAGGTGAAATGGCTGCCCATGGGGTCAAGACTGGAAAGGGAGAAAAGTCAAGGGTGAGTAGGTAGTGACCTGAGGCAGGACAGAGGGATGGGAGGGAATGCAAGTCTCAAGGAGGGCAAGGAGTGGGTGTAAGAGCTGAGGCTCAGGAAGGCATGGAATGATGGGAACTTCCAGTCAGATAGACCTGGATGCCAAGAGTCTGTAATGAGAGAAATGGAACCAGCCTGAGTGCCAGCCTGGAGAGCCAGCGTGTGACTTACTCCTCTGACTAACGCTACGAGCCGGCATTTTGATGGCACTTGAAGGTTTGCCAAGTACTTTCCAGAAGTTATCTAACTTGATTCTCACAGAATCTTGGGAGCGAGGTGCTGTTATGATCTCCACTTTACACACTAGGGATAGAAGGTGAGCAATTTGATGTAACAACTGTAAGCTTGTGTGTAGTGCTTTTTAAAGGAAGGCTTGCAAAGCACTTTACAAATATTAACTCATTTGATCCTCCTCACAACAACCACCCTGGGAGGTAGATGCCAATATTCTCCCCATTTTTTACAGATGAGGAAACTGAGGCAGGCAGGTTAAAGTGATTTGCCCAGGCTCACACAGCTAGAAAGTGTCCGAGGCAGGGGTTGAATTCAGATCTTCCTGATTCCAAGTCCAGCACTGTCCCACTTTTTCCACCCAGCTGCCTACCAAAAGGTCACGTCCTTCTATTGGGGAAGGCTTCATGGAAAAGGTGGCACCAGATGGGCCACAAAGGATGGGGAGTAGTGGAAAGAGCACTGTGCCAGACTGGAAAGAAGGCAGCCAGGGGTTAGTCCTTCTGACCCTCAGCTTCCTCATCTGTGAAATGGGCATATCACCATACTACTCATACCACCTACCTCACAGGGCTATTGGGAGGAAAGTGCTTTGTAAACCTTAGGACACCATAGAAATGGGAGTAATTATAATCATAGATGAGGAAATGAAGGAAAACCCAGAGAGAGGAATCAGCAGTCCTGGGACTAGAGCCAAGGTCACCAGACTCCTAGTTCACTAGCCTTTCCTGGCTCCAGCCCAGAAGCCTGAGGACCTCTCTGTCACTCCCTGCCCCGGGAGCCCACGTATCCCAGGGTGGAGCGAGGACAGCAGCCTTGAAGGGCACTCACCCCCAGAAGAACAGCACCAAGCCCAGGATGAGGGTCACCAGACCTTGCAGGAGCCTCCAGTCTTGACATACTGCCGCCAGCCCTGGCAGCAGGATAGTCCCAGCGTCAAAGAAGAGGCCAGCCACCATGGAGAACAGGAGGCGATGCTCGGGGTCACAAAGCTCCAGCCCTGCCAGAATGGATGAACCGGTGGACAGGGAGACAACACCAAGGGGGGCATGCAGTTTGGAGGGGGAAGACAAGGGGCAGGGGGCAGGGACAGGTTGGCCTCCTTGGGGAATCCACTTGGACATTCCTCTTTTCCTCCTGAGCTTCCTGACATCAAGCAACAACTTCCCCAATTTGGGCCCCACTTATCCCCCAACACTCTCGCTCTCCCAGGACAGAAGGGGGCCCCTGAACTGACATGCTGTGATCTCCATTCCCGGAGGGGTCTTGCAACATCAGAGCCAGGAACACTCATTCCTTCTGTGGGTAAACACTCAAGCTCACTGGGCAAACAGGAGAGGCACTCCCACCCTCTGCTCATGCCTTGAGAGTCCCAACCCCTCATCCCCCCATGCACTATACATGAAGCTACTTTTCTCCTTTGCCTTCTGGCCTCCCAGTCACTGGCACTCCCCCCACATTTTCACTGTGGTATCCCCTCCAGCATGGCCCTGGTACCAATCCTGCCTCCTTAACTGGTCACCCCTTCTTCTGGGATCTACCTCAACTTACCAGGAACCTACCAAAAATAAGGTCCCAATATGTCCTCAAAGTTGGGTGGGGGGGTTCTAAAGTTCCATAAAGGAAAAGATAGAGGGAACATGGACACAGGCACCCTTGATTCCCTGGTCTTAGCCCAAGGATTAAGTACTTGGGGCTGGGGGGATGCCTGAAGGTTCTAGATCACCCATATCCCTTTCTAGAGCACACAGGTTTACCACGTGCTTTCTTTATAGCAAAGCTGGGAGATATGCATGTCCCCTCCCCCCAGTAGAACGTAAGAGCCTTGAAGGCAGGGACCACTGCTTTGTTGACTCTGTTTCCCCAGAATCTAGCACGGCAGGTGCTCAGGAAAGGACACAGTAGACAGGAGTCAGAAGAGTCGAGTTCAGATCCCGTGCGGGCTGTACACAGATGGGCAAGCCACATAAGCGCTCCGTGCCTCTGTTTCCTCATCTACAAATGAGGGGGTTGGTGCTATTGTACAAGGCTCTTCTAGCTCTAAATCTATGACTTCACTGAAAAGGGCAAGAAGGATAGGCTTCATCTTATAGATGAGCGAAACGGGGTTCAAAGTTGCATTGTTTGTCCAAGATCTCATAGCTAGTAAAAATCAGGGATGACACATGAACCCTGGCGTCCTGCCTGCAGGCCTGACGGTCTTGCCGTCACACTATTCTGTCTTTCCAGTCATGGAGCAGGTGGGGCAGACTCTCCAAAACCTCTACTCCCCTGATACTCACGGGCCACGTAAAGGGAGAGGAAGGCACCAGCCAGGGTGGCCCCATAGAGCAGCCTCAGGGACAGCAACATGGGGTAGCTGATTGCCAGGGCCACCCCACTTCCCAGCACCGTGGCCAGAGCCAGGGAGGTCACAAAGGTGGCTTGGCGGCCAAACCTGCAAGCACAAAGGCCAGGGAAAGAGAGGGAGGTCAACATTTGGGGGTGCCAGCTAAGCTGGTAGAGGGCATGAGTGCCCTGGTGGAAATCCTCATGCCTGACAGAGCTCAGTGCCATTGAGGGGTGTTCACAGAACAAAAATTGCCACACAGGGAAGGTGGCTCCCTAGAAGGGCTGAGGAAAAAGAGGAGAGGGAGAAGGGCAGGGACACTTACCGGTCACAGGCTGAACCAAGGGTCATACAGCCCAGTAACCAGCCCAGAAAGTAACTCATGTGCTCCAGGGGCACCTTCCATCGATCCCCACATACAAGATTCCACTGTAGGAGAATATAGAGGACCTACCTGTAATAACTACATGGTGATCATCTATTCAATTTCCCACCCACCTCCAACCCCCAGACCCAGAGGCAATCCAGCGCTAGACCCTGTCTCATCCACAGTTTCCCCAGGGGGAGAATAATCCCAAAGCCTGGGAGTTGGATGGGACTTCTCAAAACCATCTTGTTTAGCTATTTCCTCCTACAGAGCTGAAGTTACATGCTTATGGTCACACGGAGGACAGGGCTGAGATTAGAACTCAAATCTCCTGACTCCTAGCCCAATACCCCCTTCATTTATACATCAGCATAGCTCCACCCACTCATCCCAAACACAGAGTCAAGGTAGGATCAGGTGGTTTTCCCAAACCGACTCAGCCCTTTCACCCTCCCCACCCCATTCTGGGACCCGGAAGTGGTATGAGAGGCAGACCTCGAATCAACGGGATTGTAGTCTCAGGTGAGAGTCTCAAACTAAGAGGAAATGGAGGAGAGGAAGGAAAGGATGGGGTGGATGGGGAATGAGGGAGGGAGAAGGAAGGGAGGGGAAAGGGGAAGAGGGCGAGGACAGCCCCCTCCCATCAACGAATCTCAGCTGGAGGGGTCTGAGAGAGAGCATCCATCTAGTCTACCGCAAGGAACACTGTCTACAGCACCCCAACAACTGGTCATCCAGGGTCCACTGGAGACTCCCAGTGAGGAGGAACCCCTACCCCCTAAATCCTTCCACTTTCGGTCAGCTCCTAGGAAGGTTTTTTTCTGACATCAAACAGCGCCCGACAGCACTTCAAATACTTGAAGGCTTCTACTTCATACCAAACACTACCACCAGGCCATAAAGTCCTGGTCTCTCTGACAGACCTAGGGGCCTCTTGTCCCCTGACTGAACACAATACTGGGCCCTCGTCTCTTAGAGCAGATCCACTAGATTTGAGGCTGTGAGCGTCCAAGCTGAGTATCTCTGGACTTTGGGGTGCCCCAGGCTAGGGCAACAGCAGAGAGAACCCTAGGTTTGAAGCCAAGAAACTGGGCTCCAATCCCTGCTTACTAACTACATGACTTTGAGCAAGTCCCTTCCCCTCGGCTTCCTTCTCTGATAAATGAAGTGAGAGGCCCAGGCGAAGCCTCAGTTTCCCCTCGGGCCTCCGCACCTGGGTGATGGGGGTGCGCAGCAGGCCGGCGGCGGGCCGCGCGAAGTCCCAGCCGCGGGTGCAGGGGCGGGTGCCATTGGGCTCGGGGCCCGGGCCCGGGTAGCGGAGCAGCAGGCAGGGGCTCCAGTCTCGGGCGGGCGGCGGCAGGCGCGGGAGGCTGGCGTTGAGCAGCGCCGGGCCGGCCAGGGAGCGCAGCTCCGGGGGCAGCAGCGCCGGGTCGGGCCGGCAGTGGTGAGCGGGCGGCGCGGGGAACAGTAGCACCTCGGAGCTCAGCGCCAGCGCCAGGGCCGCGTTGGGCAGCCAGGAGGCGGCGGCCACGAGCCGGAGCTGGCGGCCCCAGGTGCGCCCCGCGAACACCCCGCGCGCGTCCAAGTCCATGGCCCAGGCGGAGCAGCAGCAGGGAAAGCGCCGCTGGCCGCCCCAGGTGCGCGGGGCTGGGCGGGGAGGGGAGGGAACCTAGAGGGGTGGAACAGGGGTGGAACCGGGGGGAGGTCAGGGAGGGGTGCCAACCCCCACCCCCTACCCCAAGCCCGAGCTTTAAAAGGCGCGCCAAGAACTGGACCGGATTCTGGCTGGCTGCTGGGACTTCCCAGTGGCTTCCCTCAACTCCATTTCAAGAACCAATCCTTAGGGGCAGCTTGGTGGCGCAGTGGATAGAGCACCGGCCCTGGATTCAGGAGGACCTGAGTTCAAATCAAGCCTCAGACACATAACACTAACTGTGTGACCCTGGGCAAGTCACTTAACCCCATTGCCTAACCAAAAAAAAAAAGAGAGAGCCAATCCTTAGTCATCCAGGAAAGCCCCAAGGCGGGACCTTGGTCCTCCTCCCTGACTCCCTCAGAGGTTATAGAAGCAGCTCCCCAGGGTGGAGGCCTGAGTCCCTAGAAGTGGATCCTGGAGCTCTGGGAGAGAAGGTCAGAGCACCTGGAAGAGCTTACAGTGCTTCTTGGGAACTTGAGCTAGAAGGGACCTCGGGAATCATCTCAGTCTACCCTTTGTCTTGTAGAGGAAACTGAGGGCCGGAAAGAGCCCACCATTTGCCTTGATCAGTCCGTGGCAGAAGGTCCTCTGGCTCCATAGAAGCCAGTGGTGGAAGCTGGCCGTGTACCCTGAAAAGGTCCTGAAAAGGGTAGATGATGGATGAGGGGGAGCGCGCTGCTCTAGGATGCTGGGGCAGGGCCACCCCTCCAGGGATGCACTAACTCCCCTCAGGTTCCTTCCAACCCAGTTTCTTTTACCTTTAAGGTCGTTCCCTTCCTTTTATTAAGGGAGAAGCCTGGGCCCAAAGGCAGTGAACTGACCTGTCCAAGGACCAGCTAGTGCCAGGCACTGTGCTAAGCACTTTATAAGTATTATCGTATTTGAGACTCACAACGACCCTAGGAGGTAGGTGCTATCATTATCCCCATTGTACAGTTGAGGAAACTGAGGCCAACCCTGTGCCCAGGGTTTCTTTACAGGTTGCTTCATCTAGTCAGCCTCTGAAGCTAGATTTGAACACAGGTCTTCCTGCCTCTGGGCCCAGTGCTCCATCCAGTGCTCTACCTAGCTACCTCAAGGCTGTCCAAGGCTGGGGAGGGGAAGGTTGCTGAGACTGGAGCCAAGTGGCTGTGACCTTAGCAGAGTTGGGAATTCCAGCAAAAACTAGCTGCAAACCACTTGTCGGGTAAATTGTAGAAGAGATTTATATTCCTGCACGGATTTCACTGGATATCCTTTCTCTGGAGTCCTTTCCAGCACCGAGCTCCCCTGATCAGTGTGATACAGGAAAAAGAGGACCAGATGTGAAATCAAGAAGACTGGGGTTCAAATATGCATTCTCCTACTTATTACCTGTGTGTGACCTTGAGAAAGTTAGTTCATGTTTCAGCTACAGTTTCTTCATCTGTAAAGTGAAGGTGACAGGACAAAAGGAACTTTATGAATCTCAAGAGCCAACAGAAAGATTCTGTGACATGTCATCCCTACCCACACTACCTGGCTCCTTTATCCTCAAGACCCCCTTGCTGGGAGACAGGTAGGCTATTTAAAACTCTGGTAGGCTGAAGATCTGGATCTAGCAGCAGCTTGAGGATAGAGCCAGGGGTCAGGATACTTGGGTTCTGGCTTTGTGTGACCTTGGGCAAGTCACTCCTCTTTGGCCCAGAGAAGAAACTTGGATTCTAGCCCCAGCTCTGCCAGAAACTTGTTGTATTACCTCAGACAAGTTCCTCTATCCTCTTGGGGCAGAGTGTGTCCATAAATATCATGTGTGGTGTGGAGTGAGCAAGCCATTGGACTCAGAGGCAGAAAAACCCTGGTTCAAATCTTGCCTCAGATTGTAGCTTGTATGACTTAACTCTGTGCCTGGAACATGGCAAATGCTTAGTAATAAATGTTTGTTGACTTTTTGACGGACTGTGCCTCAGTTTCCTCCTCTATAAAGTGATGTAGAGGTGACTCTAAGGTCCTTTTCCAACTCTAAATCTGAAATATGATCCTATATGAAAGTACCATTTACATGTCAGCAATTATTTCTGAAAAAGCAAATGGGCAGCAAAGACAAACTGTGTTTGTTTCTCAGTTTTTACCCAGAAATGGTCCTGGGGTTAAAGGGTCCTTTCTTCGTGATTCTTGATTCTCACCTAATCTGATGAGATGAAATACCCAGAAATGGATTTCAGTATTTCTGGGTTTGAAGCCTTGACCTGCTTTCTGTGATCTGTGGTGTGCTGCTGCCACCTAGTGGTCAATTAGGATATTACAGAGTAACCCTCCATTGGCTTCTCCATTCCATTCCATCACTTAACTGGATTGCAGGATAGTCAGGAAGGAGTGGGCAAAAAGGTGCTGGTGAATAATTGCAGCTGGAACTGGGAAAATGAATTCATGTGCTCAGGGTAAATGTTGAAGAGGATGTGGAAAAATTGGGGCACTAATTCATTGTTGGTGGAATTGTGAAATGATCCAAGAAAACCCCAAGTGGGGTCACGAAGAGTTGGACACGACTGAAAACAACTGAACAAAAAACAATTATGAAAGACTTTACCATTCTCATGCAGACCCTCATTGCCTGACACCTGGCTATTGCAGTAGCAATTGCCTACCTCAAGTCTCTCCCCGCTCCGATCCACCCCCTATTCAGTCACCATAGTGATCTCCCCCGCCCCCACTCAATAAACTCTAGTAGCTTTCTCTTCCTTCCAGGTACAAATACAAAATGCTGTTTGGCATTCAAAGCCCTTCATAACCTAAGCCTCTCCTATCTTTCCAGCTTCTTTTTTTTTTTTTGGCAAGGCAACGCAGTGAAGTGACTTGCCGAGGTTCACACAGCTAGTAAGTATCAAGTGCCTGAGGTCAGATTTGAACTCAGGTCAGGGCTGATGCTCTATCCACTGCACCATCTACCTGCCCCCTTTCCAGTCTTCTTACACCTTACTCCCAGATCTTCAATCCAGTGACGCTGGCTTCCTGGCCATTTCAGAAACAAGATCCTGCATCTCTTAGCTCTGGACATTCTTTCTGACTGTCCCCTGCTCCTTCAATGTTCTCCCCCCTCTGCTCTGATTGCTGACCTCCTTGGCTGCCTTTAAGTCCCAACTCAAATTCTGCCTTCTACCAGAAGCCTTCCCCAACCCCTCGTGATTCCAGTGCCTTCTCTCGGTTCATTTCCTATATTATAGCTGACTTTGTATCATTAAATTGTAAGGTCCCTGAGGGCAGGGACTGTATTTTGCCTTTTGTTGTACCCTTAGCACTTAGCACAGTGCTTGGCACATAACAAGCACTTAGTAAATGTTTATTGAATTGAACTTTACCACCCTGTGAGGTAGTTATTCCAAGTATTATCATCAACCCTCTTTTACATAATAATAGCCAGTATTTGTACATCCACTTTACATTATTGCAAAGCACTTTACAAATATCTCATTTATCCTCACCAAGTCCTGGGAGACAGATGTAATTATTATTCCTCTTTTACAGATGAGGAAGCCACGTAACCACAGTCACAAAGGTAAGTGTCTGAAGTCAGATTTGAACTCAGGTCCTCCTGACTTCAAGTCCAATGCACCAGACTGCCTAGCTGTCCTAGGTGTTATGGGAAGAGTTGGGTTTGGTTTTTTTTAACAAAATAAGCATTTCCATAACATAGTACAATAAAAAAGATGATTGTACATGAAAATGCAAATCTACTATGTACAACTTGCTATTCCTTTCAAATATACAACAAAATTATCATGTAAATTTCTTTTTTTGCGTTTTTTTCTCCCCCCCCCATGGCTACCATTAGACACAAATAGGGGTGTGTGGGGGTGTGTGTGGGGGTGTGTGTCAAATTATTCTAACTCGGTGGTGCAGTGGGTAGAATACCAGCCCTGGAGTCAGGAGGAGTTGAGTTCAAATTCAGCTTCAGACACTTACTAGTTGTGTGACCCTAGGCAAGTCATGTAACTCTAATTGCCTCCAACAAATAAATAAATAAACAAAACTGCCCCCTCCAAAGTTACTACGGATCTCTTCATTGCTGAATCTTATGAAGTTTTCTCAATCCTTATTCTTCTGCCTTTGACACCATTGATCCCCCTCTTCTCCTTGATAGTATCTTTATTATATATTTTCATGACTCCTCTCTCCCGATTCTCCTCCTACCTATTTGACTGCCCCTTCTCAGTCTCCTGGCTCTTCAGCCAGGTCACAACTGAACGGCTGTGGATGTCCCACAGGGCCCTGTCCCCAGCCCTCTTTTCCTTTTATACTTTTCCACTTGGTGTTCTCAGCAGTTCCTAAGAATTCAATTATTATAGCTCTTTAATGGTTCTTAAATCTACTTATTGAAATCAGCCCTAACTTCTCTCCTGACCTCCAGGCTTGCACCTCTGACTCCCTATTAGACATTGGAAACTAGATATCTTATGGACATCTTAAGCTCAACATGTCCAAAATTAAACTCATGTGCCTACTTGTGCTCCTTGATTATGTGAGATAATTTTTCCTAACCTTCCATCCCTTCCATTCCCTAATGCATTCCTTTCCCCCTTCCTTTCCCCTCTTCTCTTAAGATCAGCAAGATGTAACAGAACCATTCCCAGGCTTTTTGTCTATTTAGACCCCTCATATGACCCCTGATGATGATAGCATTTAGAAGGTCGGTAGGGTTCCTGTTGGGAAAAAGCCATAAAATATAATAATAGGTGAAAATCCATTAAAAACTTAAACTCTGTGAAAGGTGGAAGCCTGAACATAGCAACCTGTTAACAATCACAACTCATATAACTGGAATATATTTTAGTCACTGAGTCAAAAGTTAAGATACTATGACCTATGAAAGCCAAAACAAGAATACTGTGACCTACATGTGACCAGGACATGATCAATACACAAACTTATGTTTGGGCA